TTAAAAAAAAAAAAAAAGCCACTAAATAAATTCTGAGGCCATGCCTGCACATGAGGTCACGGCCAGCCTGTGTCCTGGGAAGCAGGGACGTGGTCTGTGCACGGGGGGATTGGGGTCTCACAGGATCACAGAAACGGAGCCGTGAGGGCTGAGACCCTGGGGGTTATTACTAAGTCTAGACCCTCGTGAGGTGGACAGTGAGAAACCGAGGGGACCCACTGCACCTAGCGTCACACTGGGGCCGAGAAGAGCCAGGTAGGGCCCGGCTGGCAGCCCCGGGATCAGCTGCCTCCACCTGGGCCTCCTTGGCTCCCGGGGTCCCTGCGTCCTCAGCTTGTGCTTGAACCCTGTGGGCTGGCCCTGGGGTGACGCCTAACGCACCACGCGGGCTGGACGACAGCCGACGTGTTGTCGCAAAGCTCTCGGCGCTGAGGACGGAGCCTGCAGCCCCTCTACTCGGCTCCCGCCTGCCAGGAGCACCCACACCTGGACCGTGGAAACATGCCCCACCCCGCCCAGGCGTGACAGCGAGGGGACACGTACCTTCCAGCAGGGGTCCTCATTGGCTGGCACAGGGAAGAAGGGCGGAGAACATGTTAGTGGGCATTGGAGGAGCGCCGATCAGGACTGGAGGCCACGAGGCCCAGTATGGACGGGGGGTTCTCACCCGGGACATGACGGGAGCATCACTGGACCCGGGACACCCGGGTCTCACCCCAGGCATGATGGGAACACCACTGGACCCGGGACACCCGGGTCTCACCCCAGGCATGATGGGAGCACCACTGGACCCGGGACACGACGGGAGGACCACTGGACCCAGGACACCTGGGTCTCACCCAGGGAGTGACAGGAATAAGGGTCTCTGCCCTGGTCATGGCCAGGACCCACCGTGGGACAGGCAGGGAGCTGCCCAGGGGAGGGACACATCATTCCGGGAACCTCTCAAGGTGATTTATTTTCGACTGTTTTTTCCCCCCCCATAACCACCCACCCTGCTTCCAGTAAGCGATGCCAAACCACACATTTAATGATCACAAAAAGTGGTTTTCCTCTTAGTTTCTGGGTCAGGGCTGTCCGCACATAACGCCGTCCAGGGGGAAGCTCAGCTTCGGTGTGTACGGGACAGTTTACAAACCGCGGTCACATCCGGCCCTTACGTCGTCACCCGGCTCGGAGTCCCGGCACCGCCACCTGCCCTCCTCCTCCCTACAGACGACGACAGGGCGAAGGGGGCCGGGGCGTGGCGCTGGAACGCACCCTCCGCCGGAAACAACTGTCCCGGCCGCGGACGGGCCAGCCCAGCCCCACGGAGGCCAGGAGCGGAGGGCCACCAAAGCCACCAGAGCCACCAAAGCCGACCTGGCCCCCGGCCCCACAGCGGCCGCGGCAGGAGAAGCCACGCCCCGCAGGCACTTACCTCTTGCTGTGACGAACAGGGGGCTGTTGAGATAGTTGGATGCCAGCCGTTTCCTCTGCAGGGGACACAAAACAAAAGAAAAACCGTCTCGCGGGGAGCCCTCCTCAGTGCCCCTGCCCCTGCCCAGGGCGTACCCGGGACAGACTCCCCACCCAGGGCTCCAGAGGCACAAACGGGGACGGACACCGGGGCTGCAGGGCAGGGGAGGGGCGGGCTGGCGTCAGCAAGGGCTCTGCCCTGCGGCAGGCGTGGAACCCAGGCCCGCTCCCCGCCGATACGTCTGCCTCACTCGGGAGGGACGAGTGGGGGACCCCGAATCGGGGCCAACCAGTAACAAGCAGCCACCAGGTTCCCCGTCCGTCTGCCTCCTGCACCTTGTCAGCTGGCTCTGGGGTCAGGTGGGGAGACGAGGGTGTGAGGGACTCGCTCCCCAAACCTCACTTCTTGGCACGGGGCCCAGGAACCCTCGGTACAGGGTCGTCCCCGGCACCCAACATCGTGGAGACGCGGAGGCTTCCGGTACGTTCCGAACGGTGGCTTCAGCCACAGGCCGAGAACACACGACCGACTTTGCACCCGCCTCCCCCGTCGCGGTGGGGCTGTGCTCAGAGCCAAGGGCGAGGCCCCCGTGGCAGGGCCGCTCGTGGAGCCACGGCACAGAGGTGTCCAGGGCTCAAGGGTCACGGCTGGGAGGCGGCTCCTGATTCCTTAATCAGGTCCTCTCTGGCCCTGGCCACAGACTGGGGACACTGGGGTGTGGCTTCGCGCACAGAGCGGGGGACGGTTTCATCAGTGAGCACGGCAAAGGGAACGGGGCCCTTTGGTCCAGACAGCGGTCAGCACCTCCTTGCGTGGAGGTCAAGGAACAGCTCAGTGACATCCTTCCCAAAGGGCACAGTGCTCGGGACACCACGGACCTGATCGGGACATCATGGGCGGGGCGGGGGGGGTCCCCCCGCAGGTGCAGAGGGCGGGTCCCTCACCTCGGTCTCCAGGAGGCCGCTGTAGGCGGGATTGGCTGTGCTTCTTCTCTTCCGCTCTTGGCGCTTGCTCTGGATTTCTGGAAAGACACAGACACAGCACTTACTGGATCCTTCCTGTCCCGGGAACGCTGAACGCTTCCGCCGCAAGCCCTGGGCGGCCCCGTCCCCTCCTGCCCCGCATCCGCGCCCCAGAGTGGCCCCGGCACGGCTCCCTCTGGGGCGGACAGAGGTGCCGGCTTCCGGCTGGAGGGTGAAAGGTACCCACCGACAGTGCTGGTCCCCCGGGTGCCATCCCCCAGCCCGGGGCCGCCTCTCTCACGAACCCTGAGATCATAACCCGGGCCGAGGTCGGACGCTGAACCGACCGAGCCCCCCCAGGCGCCCCCAGGAGGGCTACTTACAAAAACCGTAGTAACAGTCACGAGTCTATCAGCAAAGCACCGTTAACGCAGCCCTCACACCCGTTCTGGCAAGTTGTGCGGGCAGCCACCGAGGCAGGGGGAGCCGGGAGGCTCTCCCTCTCTCTGTGCTCACAACCTCCGGCACTTGGGACACACGTCCCAGAAGGGACTGCCGCCCCCCCGCCGGCTGTCACCCCACGGCGCAGGCCGGTCCCAGCCCAGCCTGCCACCGTGCGGGGTCCTTACCTTCCAAGTGCTCCGTTGTGACCAGGCCAAGAGCTACCATGAAGGCGATTTTCTAAGAGAGGGAAACGGAGAGGCGTTACCACCACCTTCCATGTCTTTCCAGTCATTCGACAGATTCAACAGGAGCACCTACTCATGGGGCTGGCTGATCTGTCTCGGGTCTCCTTCGTTGCTACCTACGGTCCCCTCTCTGTCCCAGGACCCCATCCAGGATCTCCCGTTGCACTCAGTTGCCGTGCCTCCTTAGCTCCTCTGGGCTGGGCCGGATTTCTCTGGTTTTCTTTGTTTCTGATGGCGACAGTTCTGAGCTTGGGCTGGTCAGGTGTTTCAAAGGATGCCCCTCAGTTAGGATTCGCCTGATGGTTTTCTCATGGTTAGACTGGGCTATGGGCCTGGGGGAGGAGGACCACAGAGGGGAAGTGTCCCGCCAACCCCATCATATCCAGGGCACGTGTTATCAACGTGACTCAGCACTGTGACGTTGCCCTTGACCACCCGGCTGAGGCATCGGTCGGCCGCCTCCACTGAAAATCCCTCTTTCCCCGTCCACACTGTCCTCATTGGCAGGAAGTGGCTGGTCACCACTCACACTTAAGAAGCAGGGAATTGTGCTCCCCAGTGGCCTTTTTTGGCCACGTAGACTAAAAAAAATTTGTACGTAGTAGAATTTAGCAGTATTTTCTTTTTCAGCGTTTCGGTTTTTGAATCTTAGCTACAGACTCTGAGGTTGTAAACCAAGTTGCTTATGTTTTATTGCAGTATTTGTAATTTCACTGCTTACTTTATTTT